AGCTTGGTTGGATGGATCTCTTAATCTAAAGGCTGCAGGTGGCCTAAAGCTAAGGTTTTCCTAGGTCTAGACTTTTCTCAAGTCTCACAATCTCAAAGTTTTCTCTAAGTACACAAGCTAATAAGGTTTAAATCCCTAAAATGAACCCGAAATTATCTTTTTATAAGTTGCAAATCATCTAGAATGGGTAACAAACCATAACCAGAAGATTTCCTAGCCTGGACTACCATTTTGGCGATCCAAGGCTTGAGCGATTCCAGTCTAGGGTGATTTTTAGGCTGTTGGGATGTTGCCTGCCATAAATCAGCCGATTTGGGTTAGTCTAGGCTGGGCGACACCACTGATTGAAATTTGCATATTCTTATCTATGCTAAGTTTGCGGCTATCGGGATTCTGCCTACCAAAAATCAGCTGATTTGGGTCAGTCTAGGCTAGGCGACACCAATGGTGTCACCTGAGCGATACTGGTGGGGTCGCCTAGACCAAATCTTCCCAAATCGATAGATTCCGGTTCTGGGGATATCTATGGGCTCTTGTGATGCTGCCTACCAAAATTTAGGTCAAAACGAGGTATTTTACTATTTTTAATATTTTCTTTTACTAAAAAATGGTGTTCTGTAGGATTCTTTATCACATGGCAGACATTATGGACTATGGTGATCTATGGTCTAAGGGTTTACTGAAATAGTGTAGTCCTAAGGTTGTCTATGGTTTAGAAAACTATTGAATTTGCCCGTTTTTTAAATGAGGTGTCTACACTATGAGTATATTTAGGAACTTCAATTATCTGGGTATGTGTGTGTGCATGTGTGTGTGCTCATGCATGTATGTATGTGTTTGCATACGTGTGTGAGAAAGATTCAGAAGCTAGCATTTAAATTTTAACAATTTATACAATGAGACCATTTACTTTTGATATAAAGAGGTCACAATTATCACTAACCGTTAGATTTGAAATCGGGGGGTCGTGGATGCTTTATTATTTGGGCACAATGTTCAAAATAAAATTTCTTGAATGTTATGACATACTTTCATATATTCGATTTCACATCCAATGGTTAAAAATGCTTGTGATCTCCTTATACCAAAAATAAATGGTCTTATAGTATATACAATTCCTTCAATCTATAAAGTTTTTTTTCTTTAATGTTACAATAAGTTCTCATTAATAAAAGGAGGCAACCTTTAAATTACAGATATAAAGAAGAAGAAATAGAGACAATATCTCTAATTTCAAAAAAGACCGGCCAACACTCCTAAACAAGACCAAACTTTGAACCTCGATGACCATACACTACCAACAGTCTTATAATCCCAATTAACCATTTAAAGCCACTCAGGCCACGTTCCATATTGTTCCTCAATGTAAGTTCCAACTACTCACCACCACTCCTAAACATCATTCCTTCCGCAATAAGCACATAAGCCGAGGTTGGGGCAACATTCAAGCATTGAAGGCACCAAAAACATCAATGTGGAATTAGGTAAAGGTATCGACGCAACCAGTGACTATGAAGTAGGGCTTAAAAAATTGGGCAAGAGAGAAGTAGGTAGGAGGAGAAACTATAGAGGGGGAGAGTAAAGGGACCAAGACATGGTGATAGAGGAAACGGTCACAGAACATTCTTTAGTACATTGTATAAGGCTGGAATTAAGGAGATATTACTCCCAAAGGAAACAATCCGACTCAAACAGGCTCTCGACTAAGCCTACCCCGTATTAGGAGTTAAACCCCTATGAGAAAGACTCCGGAGCCAAAAAAAAAAAAAACCAACATATTTCTAAGTCCCAATAAAACCCACAACAGGTTTGTATGTCTTCAGAGGAAGGGAAGACCCCATCTTAAGTGTTTAACGTTCTTAAAAAGAGTGACAGAGAGAGGGATGGAGAGAACAAACAAAAGGAAAGGAAAGGAAAGGAAAGGAGGAAAAAGGGGGCATATGTGTATTAAGGCCCCATATGCATATGTTAATAGTCACTATTTATAGAAATAGCAAAAAAGCACAAGGGCAGAGGTTCGCTTTCTTATTGTAATATCGTGACCATGTAAGTGGATTGTTGAAATAATAGTGGTGAACCAACCTAAGACATCATTCTCAGAAGGGTGTAAGAAGAAATTTACTACACCTAAACATGACCAGTGGTATGCCAAAACATGGCCCAAAATTTAAAAAAGCCGAGTGTGATAATGAAAGAGAAACATTCCATGCGGGATATCTTCAATACTAATTTAGTTTCGTAATCTATGCATTTTTTTAATAGAAAAAATTTATATAAGGTGTCAACTTTATACTATTGAAGTTACATACGGGGGCAGTAAATTATCGACAATGTCTCTCTAAGTGCATGTGGTCAATTTCTCACATTTTTGGTGAAGCCAATATAGTGGCTGATATTCTTGCAAAACGGGCTACATCTTATCAAAGAGCTATTGTTTGGCGTTCTCGTCCACCATATTTTATTTGCCTTACTTTAACTCATGGTTTGGCATAAGTGCCCTGTCCTAGGGTTTTACGGTAATGAGTTGTAAACTTTTTATTTCTTACTTATTAATGAAAAAAGGATAGGAAGCCTTCTCCCCCACTGACATACCCAAAAAAAAACTTTATACTGTAGAAGTAAGGTGCACCCAGTATTTCAAAAAGTGCTAGGCGGCACCAAGGCAGTCAGGGGTCCAGGCCTCCCAACGCCCAGGCGGACGCTCAGAACCTGAGTGGCCCAATAGAATTTATTTATTTTTTGGTTTTTCTCTCTCTAAAATAGATTCTAATGGGTTTTATATTTCAAATAAACTATAAACCCATAATTTTGCACTTTAAGTTTTAAAAAAAAAACCCAAAAATACTCTCAACGATGGGTATTTTCGCCCCTGGGCGACTGCCTAGACGGGTTCAGGCAGCCGCCAGTTGGCTGCCTAGGAGGGCTCAGACGGCCGCCCAAGCAAGTTTTTGGGTGCTTAAGCCTGGGTGATACGCCCGGGCCCCAGAACTACCTCGACAACAGCCTAGGCACTGGGTGGTCCGCTTTTTGAAACACTTGGCGTACCTCAAACAACCTCTAAAAGAGAGTGTTATGATGTTGGAAAACTCTCTAATTGATTAGCTCAACCTCGAGATTTATGGACATGAAGAAAAAATGAACTTCAATTCCTAAAAATAGTGCATCATTTAAAAAGTTATCTAGGCTCACTATTTTCAAGATTCTCATAAGTTTATAAATATGCTCAAACTATAGTATTTTTGAAAATTTAAATTTCATAACTAAGGATGAAAATATATTTTCAAGCCTTTCGGATACCGGAACTACATCTCTACTCATGTCCACGCAAAATTAGATGTGCACCTTACTTCTGTTGTATAAGGTGAGGGCTTCGTTGTCTAGTTGTGTAGATCCTCTAATGTTGTTTCCTCTTTATAGGCAAATTATTACTTGAACACAGTTGTTTTAAAACCTAGATCGGGAATATGCTGGACTTATCATTGTCGATCCAGTCCAGATTAGACCGATTCACTGGTGTGAAAATCGGTTAACAAAAACTTAGATAATCATTGTAAGTTTAAAAATAACAAGAAAATACAAAATCAATGGGCAGGAATTGAGAAATGCCGACAATTTGAAACACCCAGTTCCTTGTCCTATTTGTGTAGTTCTTGACAAAACTTGACGGATTCCTGATTGACTTTTAGATATCCAAGTCGTCGATTTTTAAAATACTGGTTTTGGTAATGGAGATATGCATCACACAAGTCGGACCTTCCAATTAGGACTGCAAATGAGGTCAGGTCAATTCAGTGATGCAGCCATCCGAGACACCGCCCAAGCCTGGACCCCAGAAGTATATTGGGTTTGGTCTACTTTTAGGTATTTGTCAGATGATTCCCACCCAATTCCGTGGGTTACATCAGGGTCCAAATCAACCCCACCCATTTTGTAATTTGATCCTTTTTCTAAACTGCTAGCTATAAATGTGTGCGAGTGAGAGAGAGAGCGCCAGTTTCAGCCATATCCTATTGGCCCTCTCCATGGATCAGGGACACTCTTATTGTCAATTTTCAAAGCTTCCGACACTTTTTAAGGTTTAGGACACCTCAGAGAAATGGATCAGCAATAAAATGGGGAATTAAGGTATAAACTAACAAAAACATAAGTGCCATGAACACAATTAAATTCGCTTTTCAGGAAGTTTACTGTGGATTCCACAATTTCAAGATTCTTGTCATAACGAACAATAATAATCTAATTCTAAGGAAAGTTAATATCGCGTGACGTGGCATGGCATAGACTTTCTATCATGAAAGTAATATGAACCTCAAAATTCCTCCAAAAATTGAAGGTTGGAATGGAACCAGAGCCAACGCAGGACCCGAGGGGTACATTCGATCCAGGTCCAAGAATAGGGCCAAAAATTGGACCCGATGCGTCGGGTACAGGTTGATTTTTGAACCCAAATATTATTCGGGTTCAGATCTGGTAATATTTTTCAGGTCCAAATATATTTCAACATAATTAATATTTTAATTTTTGGGTCGGGTCGGGTCCGGCCAAAAGCCAGGGCCGTCACCACTCCTACCGAAAATGTTGTTATGATACCGATAATATTCCCATTTAATCATATCGATAACTAAAAATTTGAATGCCAAAGAAATATTGTAAGTGCAATGACAGTCTCTGATGGTTCATTCTCAAGATTTTCAAGTGTTTTATGACCTGTACTACTTTTCGGAGCTTTGAAACATGGGGGGCCAAAGGCAAAATCTCTCCCTCTGTTCTCTCTCTCTCTAAAAGATCTGCTCAACACATCAGTAAGCCACATTTCCCAAGAACGCATTGAACCGTAGAAGGGTTCGATGAGAGAAACAAAGTACCTCTAGAAATCAAGCATGAAGCCGCCTCCACCTTGATTTGCACATTAAATGGGTCTCAACTCTTAAGTTCCAGCCAAAGAAAATCAGAGAGAGAGAGAGAGAGAGAGAGAGAGAGCGAGAGAAAGGCTTCTTTTGAACATGAACAAACAATAACAACCAGCTTTTCTATAAACCCATCTTCCCCAACAGATGAAGCCAAATCAAAGGTTTGCTCTGATTGAGCTTCATCTGCCTGCAAGTGACAATTCAGTATCAGAAAAGAGCTGTACAACCAGCAAACAAAAGCACTGATATTAAAAATACCATAATCCCCTAGAGAAACGATCACAAACATAGATAGATAGATACATGGATAGATAGATTTTGAGAGAGCGAGAGAGAGTTATCGGTTCCATTTTGGTTGCAGAAATAGCACCATCTAATGCCGAGACAGCTCGGGAATTTGCACCGTAACGGCGAGCAGTATGTTAGAAAACTAAAGGCTTTTGATGAAAAGAAGACTCGGTTAAACCCTACCTCTACTTGATGTACAGACTAACTTTTAAGACGGTGTGCTCTTCCTATCCCCAGATCTTTAACTACTTCTTCACCTTCCCATGTTGTCGCTCCCCGAGTCCGATAAGATGGTCAGCCTTCTCGCCGTCTTCATGAAATTACTGCAATAAATGGGGGAAATGCTCAAACTATTTATTTAACAAGGACCATGAGACTGAGAATAACAAAAAAAAAAAAAGGATTCTTGTTCAACCCTTAAAGGATCAAAAGGGTGCTCACAAAGGCTTTGGGTGTGCGTACAATACTTAACACGAGCCAATTCGACCCTTTAAGGGTCAAACGGCTTTTGGCGTTCCTGCCACACTAACAGAAGCCAAGGTTCAGACTGGTGCTCCAGTAAGGCAGAACCGGAATACTTCCAGATATAAAAAACTACCAAAAAAGGGAACATCACATAAAAATGGAAAACTTTTATATCATTTCTTATTTTCAAAAAAATGGATCCATACGTTAATTCCCCCCAACCAATCGAAGCTCCATCTTTCATGCAGTAGTTCTAAGAATGCTGACCGCAAATAGTTGGGGTAATACTCTGATGATGATGAGCTCAAAGAATCAGCATACTAGTTGATTTGATGCAAGGGCTTGTCTGAATGGTAGAAATTTCGGCTTTGGAAACCATTTATCCCGTAAAAAAAGGAAGCCACCCCATCCATGTCCCCCATGAAGCCCAAAAATTTGGAAGTTTCAGCTCCGCCAATCAAGCAAGCCCTTAAGAAGAGAGGGAAAGTGGGGAACACAAGCACATCTGGTATAGCAGTTTTTAAACCAGTATACTCAGCCATTTGACTCTGAAAAAAGAAGAGGGGGATGAAAAAAAGAAAGTGGGGGAACATTGCATTTCATTTAATAATAAAAACACCTACCAAAGCCCCACCATTAAATCTCCCAATAAGCAAAAAGCATGTTTAATGTAGCAGTTGTAAATGGTAAATCAAAACTAGGCCAGTCCAACTCGGACTTTTCACTCACCGAGAGTTCCTCGGACACAACAGGCTGTCAAGTCTTAAAATCAAACCCTTGGGAACAGGCCAAGTCTGGCCAGTTTACAATATTTTAACATTATTTCCTTTAGGACAGCCAAGTGTTGTCATACCTGGACATGGGACCCAAGTGCCAACTTGAGCACTTGATAGAGAGAGAGAATCCGTGTGTGAGAGAGAGAGTTTGGTTCTCATTTTGTATAATAACAATAGGCATTGCAACAACATTCCACACTGACATTTCAATTTTTCCCAAGGGGTTCAGAAGAGTTGTAAAAAAAATTTACCTGTACGGCTCATCCCCTGTGTGCCTAACTGCACCATTGGCATCCCTATAGAGCACCCGGCCCTCCATCTCTCTTTCCTCCACCATGAACATAGCAGCAAGCTTCTTGTACAGCTCCTCATAAGACCCAAACAACGAGAGGTCAAGTGTCCGGCCCACATCCTCCGACTCCATGAAAACCTTGCAGTGCCCCATCCCGTCGTCAAACCCGTTTTCACAACCACCCCCCTTCTCCAAACTAAGCTTCGTCATCTGATCCTTGCACCAAAACAACCCTTGTGGAGCACCAAACACGGGTGGAACCATGCCACTGCTAAGCCTCAGCCCAAAGTTGTCACAAAAGTTAGGCCCCTCAGCCTTAGCCACCGAACCCGCCACAGTGAAACTTTCTGGGTTCCCATTGCTTGAGCTATTGCTAGTTCGAACAGGCGACCCATTATCAGTGGTCGAGCTCAACCCTGATGCCTGCTGCTGGTCCATACAAATGGATTTCCCAAAGAGCATGAAGTGGGTCCCACTCACACTCCCCTTGGAGGGAGATGATGAGTTATTCTCATTCATAGTAACAGTGGTTATCGACCTCTTGAACCTGTTCGGTGAATTGTTGGTCAAGAGAGAGGCAGGGACTTCATTAAAAATAGAGGAGCGATCTATCGAGGACAAGCTCCCATTTCCAATGTTCAACTCTGTCGAGACGGGCGGTGGTGGCGGGGCCCCACCCCAAAAGCCATCAGGAAAGAGGACTACACCTTGTTGTTGGAGGTGGTGAGGTTTAATGTCATTGTTGGCGTTGGTGCTGCTGTTAGGGCAAAGGTTGGGTAGGGAGATGCCGAAACGGCCATGCCTGGCTCCCTGTATGCCTGCTGAAGGAACAGAGTCCACATGTTGTTGCCAAGGTGGGTTCACGAGCCCGAGCAGGTTAGGGGGGAGTGTTGGGGTGGGGCCCACGAGACTGCAATGGGTCCCATCAAGGGATGAGAAGTCAGGGTGGGAGATGCGATGCTTCTTTTTGGGGAGGGAAAAGGGGGAGATTTGGAGGGTGGGTATGTTGGAGACCACCTCAACGAGCCATGGGTTCACTCGCTTCACATTCTGCAACAAGTCAGGTTCATCCCAGCTCACCTAAAGGAAAAGAATGTCAAAAAATTAACAAGCTAGTGAGTGGTGATATAGCACTTGTTGAAAAAGTAAAGGACAGAGCAGGGAACAGAGAGAGAGGAAAGGAAAGGGGGGGTTTATCAATGTGAGAGAGAAAGAAGGTTTTCCTCATCCCTTTTCTATGCTATGTAAAAGAATGCTAAGTACACCTAATGGACCCATGAGAATAGACAATAAAAACCAGAGAAAAGCAGGAAACAAAATTCAGACAATTGCTACATTTTAGCTCCTGCAAAGGCCTAATCATTAGAAAAACAAATAATTCAATTTTTTTTTATTGAAAATGAAAAGAGACAAAGAAGACGGGTTTAAGCATATATGAGAGGGTGGAGAGTGATTCAATCGCCACAACTACGTAGACAGATGGTAGCAACCAGTCAAGTAAATATAAAACCCCAAGGCGACCAAATAATGGAACATTTTCGTCACTATACATTCCAATAGGGACCAGAGATCACAAGATCACATTTGGCTATCCAAATGCAGTGCCATTGAAGATGTTTGCTATTTGTTTTTGCCTTTTTCTTTTTTTCAATGAGGAAACAAATAAGATATAACATGATTTTCGAGAGATGCTTGCAAGGGGGAAATTTATCCAAACCCATACAGATCCTCAATGGGGAACTCAACCCAACCGTTGATTCTACATATTTATGAAAAAAATGAGCCAAACAGGCCAGATTTCTAATAGCATTACATACAACATGTTCCCCAATAGATGTTCCCCAATAGCAGACTTCTATATCCCCTAGTGTTCACCTAGTACACAAAACTTCAATATCCCATTCTCTAGTAAAATAAAATAGAAGCAAAAAAATAAAATAGAAGCAAAAAGAATAAAATACAAGCAATACCAATAACAAGGTTCCTATTACTCTAAAAGGTAAAATCCACAGAGAGATCATGCATTAATACCTGAAGAACCCTCCATGGTGAATTAGGCCAGTTGACCGGGTCAGCAACCTGCACACCAGATATCGTTCCCATGAACCAACTGATCCTCGACGAATCCTCGGTCTCGAAAGCCATCTTGAACCTCATCCCTGTACTCCACTGGACCCTCATCGCACAATTTACTGAGCTAGACCTGACACAAAACTCAGGTGTACTAACCCTAGGGTAATAAACCACCTCAAATGAGCGACCAGCAGCTGCCAAACTAGCAGCCTCAAGCACCTCTTTAGCACTAACCTTCCCCCTATTCCTCCAAACCCCACCATTCCCATTGCCCCCATAACCACCCCCATTGGCTGATTTCATCAACTTGTTCTCATCTTCCCTCAAAAACACAGAGAATCCAGCAGGGCACCAAGCAGATGACTCACCACCAATACCACGAGAAGATCGCCTAACCCCAACACAAAGCTCCCCATTTGCTGATCTCAAGAACACAATGGAATCCCCAGCCACAAGCTTCTTCTGGTTTACAAATGTGCTCCAACCGGTGGTCAACAAATGCCTCCTTGGTGTTCCACGATAGATGTGCCTAAACTTCCAAATCGTCCCATGAACATCTTTCGCCAAAACTGTTTGAACAGGTGGGTCCATCGAGTAATCAAGGCGAGGGAATATGGTCTCCGCACAATACCTAGGAACTGAGAAACCCCCACCATTGTTCGCATCAGATTGCGTCAGTGTCTTGGCAAATGACGAGGGTTTCTCGGCACAATCCATGCCATTGCTATCTGCAAAACCCTCACAGTCATCTTCATAGCCCTCATTTTTTATGGGATCAAGCCTTATTCGAGCAAATACTTCGTCAGTTTCAGGGTCAGCCAAAAACTTTACAGCAGTGACTCTACAGAGGAGATACGGTGGGACTGTTGGCGGGAAATCGACAGGGTTACAGGCATGTTCAGCATGTCCTTGGGGGAAATAGTATACCTTTGTGTTCACTTTGTGCATTTGGACCATTCCTCCGGCACAGGCGTGCCATAACTGAGAATCAAGGCATTTCTCACCATTCTTTGATGAATCAAGGGTTATAGCCATGGTGGAACCAGAAACATGAAAGTCAAAAGGACACCTAATACCTGATATCGAGTCAGGAAAGAGAAACAAAAAAAAACAGGTATTCAGATACAGCTTCATAATCCACTGATGAAAATGAAGATAAAAGCATAAAGGCTAGTCCTTGGCAAATCAAATTGAACTTTTTCAAGTTAAAGATCAAGTAAAAAAATAAAACATTAGGGCTCAAAGACATGCCAAGGTCACAGTTTTGCAGAGAAAGAGGCGCAGAATAGCAGATGTCAGGAATCTGGCCAAAAACACCTAGTGATTTAATCACTCTTTGATATTTCTTCAAAAAAAATAGTAAGAATTCACATTCTAGAGCTGTAAAACCATCAAGTTGAATAACACTGTTAAAAGCATTCCAAAGATATTCACTCCACGCTTCAAAACCTAAAAATACAGAAAGAAAGGTTTCAGAAACTAGGTTTTCGAGATTTCAGCAAACACAAACAAGTCCTCTAACTTGGGATAGTCCGGTGTCACACTAGGGAACAAGCAAGAAACCCATTCTAGGGTTAGAGACAGTTAATCCAAAAAGAGCAGTTGGGATCCAAATGGCTTAACAGGAAAGGAGGAACAACATTAAATCACCATGAAAATGGTTTAACTGGAAAGGAGGAACAACATTACATCACGATGAAAAATCCAGGTTTCATCAACTTAAACTTAATGTCCCAGCTAAGCCTTAAATTCTCTCCATAAAAAAAAACCCAAAAAATTATATTGTATCTCTGTACACATTCTAAAACGAACAAACAGCATGCAACAGTCCAAAATTAGGGTTTCTCCAAAGAAATACCTGGCCGTGTAGCTAAACCTCCAATCCTTCAAGTATCACAAAACTCACTTCACATTCAGTTCAGCCCCAAACATTTCTAACAAGTTTCCAGTGAAAATTTCCCGATCTGCAAAGAACACCAGATCTCTCCACTGAACCTCCAATATCCAAGCGAAGACCCAAACTATGCAACACAGTGAGAAAAAACGATTCTCTGGCCAAATTTTCCTGCAATAGAGCGCAGATCTGAGCTCAAACGACTGGATCTCGAGAGGGAAAAAACATTTTCCTGTGATTTCCGGCGATTTTGTTGCCGGAATTAGGGCATTTCTAGTAGAAAAAATGAGTGAGAACAGTGATGAGAGAAAAAAAGGCTTTTAGTGGGATATATATAGGCCAGAACCCAAGGCCATTTTGTACTGTAGGGCAGGTAACCCGACATGTTAACCATCGTTAACCAGGGTTAAGAGCTCCTAGTTGTCTGAGCCTTTTTGTATGGTAAGGATCTGACTATAGGTTCGAACCCAAGGGTTCGTGGCTAACCACGGTCAACTAGGGTCTTTACCGGAATCCTCGGATCCCGGTCGCCGATAGAGTTCAGTTTTTAACCGCGGTTAAATCGGAGGAGAATAATCCGTCCGTGTAAGTGAAACCGAATCTTCACCGTCTATTTAAAACTGCTTTGCTGGTTCACTGGAATTAAAATCAGTATTATCTCTTTTATTTCTTAGGATTTCTTTCAACTTGTTTATGGTGATATAATTATTTATATTTTATTTAATAATCGTCTTGGGACAAAAAGAGGGAAAAAGTGGAATGAGCTGAAAATTTGAATACCTTGTTCAAATGTATAAAACACCCAAATAAATATATACATATATATATAATTTATATTGTATAAAAATTAAAATTAAAATAATAATATGCTATCTTAAAGATCAAGAATGAATGAAAATAATGAACAAAACAGACTGATTGGGAGAAAAATATAGATTGTTTTCTCTTCAAATATTTTTACAGAAAAGTGATTCAAAAATCATTGTTGGAATCGAGAATCACCAGAGTCAAATCAGATCTGAACGCGTTCCATTCAGGGCCAAAAAACTACAACATCATCCAAATCCCAATTTTCCTAATTTATATTTTATTTTCTTTCTTAAATATAAGCTTGTCCAGCTCAAAAAAAAACCTGAGTCAAACTAGGGAATCAAAATGGGACCCATTCAAAGTCAGAAACCAATTCAAATTTAAGAATCACTAATCTAATTTTTTTTGCTTTTTTTTTTTTTGTTAGTGTTTCATTTTTTCCTTTGATTTCTTTCATAAACCATTGTGTTTTTTTTTTAATGTATTTATTCTCTTAATTCAATTGAATCCAAAAAGTAAAAACCTATAAAAAAAAAGGTCATGGGCTGAAACCGTGTTGGTCAAATAACCAAACTTCGTTGGCTTGTGTTCCAAACTATAAAAACTCAATAAAGGAAGGCAAAGTTGTCGGTATGTTAATATGTCATAGCATTAGTAGGCTTCACATAAGGGAGTCAACAAACTACTAAAAACTAGAAAAAGGGCATGAGAGTCCATATATTTTGGGACCCTTTGAAGAAAAATAAGTACTTAATTAATTTGGGCCCTTTAATAAAAATAAAATTTTGATATGGGGCCATCGAGTATCCATATTTAGCAAGTTTAGGGTGAGTGTCCCATAAAAGCCATTTTTCTAGGGCACAACTTTTCTATCAAGGGCCCATTTGCTTTCCTTTTTTAATGAATATTGTGTAAACAAAAATATACACAATACGGTGAAAATGCTACAAAAAATTGAGTGTAGAGTGTAAACCACTCATTTAAAACAAGAACCAAGTCACAGATAATGAGGTATGTGAAGTGGCTCATGTCCAAACTTGTGTTATGGCGACCTCTATGTGTTTGGTTCTATCCCTGATTTAGTGAATCACATTTTGGGAGTCACTTTCTATTTTCCGCCTTTGGCACTTTCTGTGCGGGAAGCGGATACTCTGGGGCATATTTATTAATCATGAATCTATTTCTAAATAGCTATTTGTCAGAGAGATACTATTGCATATGTAGATTTTTTTTATTTTTATTTTTTTCAGTAGTTCAACGGTAGGAATTGGATTGCCTAATACCATTGAAATGTATAGCAATGTGGCAATCCTAGAGCCGCTTTCTCGTTACACAAACAAGTGAAAGCAATTTTTTTTTTTTAAATCTCCTCAAAGGGGAATTCGGATAAAACAAACACGCCCTTAGAGTGCCCCAAGAGGAGGGGACATGCCTCGGTTCATTCATTATATTCACCTCTATTGGTCTAAAGAATCAGAGCACTTGTCATCCCTCAAGTCCATACATAGCTCCATCTATCCCCTGATTGAGCTTGGGTTAACCTGAAAGCTTCCATCAAAATAAGAGGCTCTTGCCTCGTAAGGCAACGGGTTTGGGGCATCTGTGGCAGTGAAGACAATGGGTCTGAGGCATTTCGAGCGGGGGCCGATGTTCCCAACATAATGCCCCCACCCTCCATTCCCACTATTAACATGTCAAAAAATAAAAAACAAAAGGGGCCCTTACCAAGTCCAAACCCTAATTTAGAACCATTCTCTCCCTATTGCAAATTAACATGCCAAAAAATAAAAAATAAAAAAAGCCCTTACCTAGTCCAAACCCTAAAAACAGAAAGAGGCCCTGCATGATACCAGGCCATAAGTAACGTATACAGATAATAGATAATAAAAAAAAAATAGCATACAAGAGAAGCACGCGCATGAAGAAAAATTTATAAACAGAGAAAGCAAGAAATAAGCTTATAAATTTTGAAAAACAAAGGAAATAAAAGGGCAATATGAAAAAACTAAGAAACACGACACGCGTGCTCATGATCAAGATGACCCATTGACCACACGTGCCACTCAATGCTAAGTGAGGGCCCACATGGCCTGAGTGATTAAGCATGGGTTCACATGGCCACATAGCCACTATTTGGCATGTATTCACATGGCCACATAGCTGGGTGAGTTCTCATGCCAACATAGTCAACCATGCCTTGCAATTAGGGCAAGGATTATCTTCCTAAAACTAAATTAAAGGAGGCCAAAATCTTAAGGTACCCTTTTCTTCTTTTTTTTGCCATAAGATTATGTGCTCCCGCTGGAGTATTTCAAATATTTAGATAAAATCTCATATAAGGGTATTTTCAGGTCACCGTATTCATGTAAAACCTTATCTAGGAGTATTTTCAAGATCCAAATTTTGGATGTGCAGCATCCACAATCGAAGGACCAGCCTCGCGAAAAGAGAAAAGCATTTTATTTGTGTTGAAGAAATAACATTTTGAGATTTGAGTAAAGATTGTATGACAGTCAAATATATATATTTGAGACCTCGTAATTTAGTCCTTCTTTAAAAATATATATTCATCTGGTGATATAAAGTGGGACCCAACATGGAATTTTTTCTAAGATGGTCTTTTGCCCGAGGGAGTAAATGTATAGAGTGCTCCCACAAGAGTGCACGGCCCTTTCTTTTTTAACCAATGCTTTTTTTCATTGCTTTATTCCTACTTAGTCTAACCATACAATTACTCTCTCTCTCTCATGCATGATCATGGACCCACATGGGAACATCAATATTATATGCTTTGGGCCTTAAGTGAGACTCCATTTTAATGGCCAATGAGGCCACTGAGCTGGACATCTAGCTTGGCCATGAGACTCTCACTCAAATTCATATGGCTTGGCCATGACCATGGAGAATGAACATCGTTCATGCCATATCACAAGAATTTTGTCGTGATCCAACTTTATCAATTTCTTTTATCCATGGTCTATGACTATTGTATACTTGTCAAGGGACCCTGTCCACACCAAGACACAAGAAACAGGTCTCACATAAGGGACCTAGCAACTTTGATTATTGGTGTAAATGGTTATGATCAATGACAGGTGAAAATTCAGTGCTTGGCCTTGTTATGTTCCATGTTTCTATAGTCAATTGCAATTGAACTAATACCTTTGCCCAATCACCTCCCAAGATGGCATTTGAAACAATTTTCCAGTCATTGTCCTTGAAATTTAACCCTATTATGTTCCATTTATCTTCCAATCACAATTGGACTTAACACTCCCAAAATTAAATAAATACAAAAAATATGGCCCTCTGACAGTAATCCGGTGGGGATTTATGCGTTAAATCCGACAATAGTATAAATTTTCGATATTGTATACTATAAGGCCATTTACTTTTGATAAAAAGATGTCACAATAACCTACCGCCATCGATTTGAAACCTACCAGATTGGCTATATCACAAAGTTTGAAAAAAATTCATTTGAACTTTGTATGTGGTTAATGAAACGGGTGCATCCACCCGATTTTACATCTAAAGATCAAAATTATTTGTGGGCTCCATAAACTAGATGTAAATGATCACATTATATAATATTCCTTTTTTTATTTATAAAAATATACAATAGGTGAGAAGTTAGACCTTGTGTGATGCATTTATCTACAATGGGCCAGTGGTGTCCATGTGGGCCCCCTTGGTATGTGTCAAGGTCCATGTGACATGGGTCTACTGGGTTCACCACCTAGTCTAAGAGTGTGGACCCACTCATGCCACACATGGTTGGGTATGTCCGAGTCCAAGCCTATAGAATTCACACCCACCTAGAAAATGCATGGTCAAGTGTTTGGGCAAGCCACGTTTGTTTGAAACTTTTGTGGATTAATATAACTCATTGTTGTTGGGGTGCTGTTAAGGGGATACAATACAAAATTCAAGGTTGCGATCCTAACAAAACTTGGTTAGTCAAACAGAAAAAGTCACATTTGTGGTTATTGCATCCAAACCCTAGAATCCACCTAGGGTTGACAAACCATTTGTCCAGTCATCTCAACCAATGTTCTTTGTGTTTTGACGGTTAACCTAAGAAAGGTGAGAATAGAATTCTTGTAAATCAAAATTTATGTAGTCGATTTCAAATAGTTGAAATTTTTTTTAAATGATACCGATGAGTTTCAACTATTGAATTTGACTATAATATAGAATCATTATCATCATTATAGCTTTTTTTTCCAAACACTGTATAACGAAGAATCCAATAAGTAAAATACAATTGTCATGCCTCCCTCACTAATAGTTATGAAAAATGATGCAATAGTCCAATTTTTAAAATTTCAAATTCAACTATTTTATTTATTTATTTTGTTTGTTGTTGATTTTATTTTGATTTGCACATTAAGAAAACAAATTATCAAATATCCCAAGAATAATGAAGAGACACAAAACTGCCATCAACATCTGCACCATCCATTATGACAAGTGGGATGACTGGACAGCATGGATATT